GCGAATTTGTTCGGGCTGCGAGGCATTTTCCTCTTCGTGAAACCAGCCGTGACACCTCGCGATCTCTTGAGATCCGTTCATGAAACAGGCACTGAGACCACGGTCTCTTGGGACTATCATCATATTTCGTCACATCTTTTACTACAATCTACTCCTTCGATTCGCTTTCAAGCTGGACACAATTTTCGCTACAAAATGAATCCACACCTGGTCCAACTCGATACAATCACCTCTAGACCTAATTCATGCATGGTCCAAATGGAATCAATCACCTGCAGGCCTAACTCAGACTCGGGTTCACCTAATCACTCTTTAGCCTAATCCAGAGCCGACTCGACTGATCCAGTCGATCCCTGGATTGGCTCAAGTTAGATTCAGTCTAACCAATGTCTTGTAAATTTGATTAGTCCAATCTTCCTACTGTCTTTTCAAACCTACTTCAGACTTGGTCCTATCTTTCCATTTTCTTCTGGACCTATTTCAGACTTGATTCAACCTTCTCAGTGTCTTTTGGACCTATTCCAGACTTAATCTAACCTTCTCACTGTCTTCAGGACCTATTTCAGACTTGATTCAACCTTCTCAGTGTCTTTTGGACCTATTCCAGACTTAATCTAACCTTCTCACTGTCTTCAGGACCTATTTCAGACTTGATTCAACCTTCTCAGTGTCTTTTGGACCTATTCCAGACTTAATCTAACCTTCTCATTGTCTTCAGGACCTATTTCAGACTTGATCCAACCTTCTCACTGTCTTTTGGACCTATTTCAGACGTGATCCAACCTTCTCACTGTCTTTTGGATCTATTCCAAACTTCGTCTAACCTGCTCCTATCTTTTGAACGTGTTTCAGGCTTGGTTCAACCATCCGAAAGTCTTCTAAGTCTAACCGAGGTTGGCGCAATCTTCCCAGTGTCTTCTAAACGTAACTCCTCTGTCTTTCAAACCTGGCTCAGAGCTCGTCTAAACTTCTTGCTATCTTTTGGACCTATCACAGGTTTTTCGTCTTTTAATCCTAACTCAGAGCTCCCTCGACAGACCTAATCGCTTCTGGAACAATCAAACAATTTCTAGAGTAGAGGACTAAAGAAAATATCGTTGGTAGTGACGCGACATAACAAATTATTCTTTCAATATCTCAAGAATAATATCAGGTCATTGAGCATGAAATACTTACTCTATAATTTTTCTATAAAATCTATGCATTTCATACTTAACAACCTAATGCATTTATTTATATATGATTACACTTTGGACGACCTTAACTTCTTGCACCGATATTCGAGATAAGGCTGATAAATTAGCCTTATCGGCTAATTTATCTTTCGCAATGCATTTATATAATACAATCAATTTCAGAACACAGTCGATTTCTTTTTATTTCGGATAAATCATGAATACAATTAATCCGTCCTTCAACGGAATCTTCGGGTTGCATCCGCCTAACTTCCTCCGGGTCGAATTACCTTCTCCTTTTATCCCTAATAAACATTTATTGACGGGGTATCTTCGGCTCGACGAGACAAATTAACAGTCCTTCAACGAACGACGTGCAATCAGACAGATGCAGCCCGAAAATTCCGCTGAAGGACGGAACACAATAAGTATGAAATGATAGCTCAACCTGCGAACGACTCTGTAACGCTTACTCCAAAGGGTTTCTTCCCGTTTACTGTATAAAGAAATAATTAATAAGATTGTCGAGGATAGAGATTCTGAAGATTTTACTTCTTCCAACGGGATTACAGAATATCGACGTTGGCCGCATTAGCAGCGAGCAGTTCCGGCGGTCTAAACGATTCAGCCCCATCAAATATTTGGCCCAGGAATTTCGATGTCCGCCAATCGATCGGCCATTGTTGTCGGTAGCTTTTCGTCAATTTGAATAACAATAATCGGGCGCACGTGGGCGCCGGGACTTGGTAGCCGCGCAATTCCCCGATCGTGCGGCCGTCCATCGACACCCGAGAAAATCGGACAAATAGTCCCGTTTATCGCGTTTGTCGCGAATATGCACGGTCGATTAGGTTCCCGGTCAAATATTTTCGCGTTGCCGGTACCGCCTTCGACCGGCCCCTTGCATGGATATATTAACGGCGAATTTATTCTCTCAAAGCAATCGGCAGAGATTCTAGCGGATTCAAAGCGCGCCGTGTTTTCCCATGAATTATTAATTATCCGCGCCGACACGGCGGTGCACGGTAATTCATTCGTGGAAAATTTGCAGCCGGATTTTCCGAAGACAAAACCGTTGCCGTTGGAACGGCGCCACGGTACACGTAATTAGAGAATAAAAGTTCTGTGCCCTCGGATTAAAACGTATATACGAAGGAAAAAGGTTTATAATCTAGATCGATGATTAATATGTTTTTTTTTTATTATTATTTCTACCCATCAACAATCATAGAAAAGTGTCACATTTTCTATGTGTCAGAATGTAGCAAATATTTTTCAATCGATGCGCATCCGACGAGTGTAAGTAGCACATCTTCGCAAAAATCGGAAGAAATGCTTGCTTTTCGTATAAATTAACACGTTGGCTGCCGTGGGGGCCACCGGTGACCGGCGACGCGACGAATAGCTAAAATACATAATTAGGGTAAACATCGATACGCATAAATTTTTAGATAATATAATATTATAATAATTGTAATTTATTACAATGCGCCACGAAAAATGCATAAAACGAGTTTATACAACTAAACTTATCTGCTGTAAATAATATTTCAACATAATATGCATCGCATAATGAAAAATTCATGTTGGCGCCTTGGGCAAGTCACGTAAAATTCGCGCGGCAGCCAACGTGTTAATGATTAATGCGATTTACAAAACGTATATTATACAGTGAGACGGTTTCATTTAGCATCAACAGCGATCGAAAGAAACTAAAATCATTTAGTATCAGCTGAAATGATCCGAGACATTCCGTGCTATAATTAAAAGCGCGGGGTGTGTCGCCCTTTGCCCAAATCCTCAAGGACAGCTGTTGACCCTTCAGCAGAGGGGACCGGTAAGACTGGTTTGCCTCTTATTTATTAGCTCGTGGGTGTAGTCACACAGAAACCAGTTTTCACTGCACGAGTTGACCCTTCGGTGCGGCCACCCACAATGTCACAGGAATGTAACCACGGGTTCAAGCTGAACCCCGAGGCCGTTTGTTCACGACGATTTTAAGTTCCGACCGAAATTATCGTTTCCGTAACGCGGAACATTTGAAGGTTCAGCAGAAACTGCTATTCGTGGCTGAACACGCTCGGCGCGTATCGCAGACGGTTCACATGAATATTTGAAACGGTGGCCCACGGTTCCAATGCAGGCCGATAAGACTCGCCGGTTCGGGATTGTCGTCGTTCGATCGAGATTTATGCTCCAGCAAACAGTGTATGCACAAAGCGCAATAGAAAGTGCCATCAAATCATATGCACGGGAGCCACAATTGCAATCGATCAGGTGAGCGTCAGGTATCACACCTCCGCGAGGGAATAATTTATTGCGATCCGGCGAGGCTCGCCAACAATATAAGCAATTTCGTGTGTACAATACGCTCCGGGTCCGCCAATAAATATGAACAGAGTAGTAATAAATTACGCGGCACGATTAGAGCGAATCGCCGATAAATTAACGTGAACATACGCGCATGGTCCGGTGTATCTGTGTTGTGGTCCCCCTGCCGCTCCCCCCAAACCCTACGATCTGCTTGATCACACCAGAAATTCGGATACTCTTTCCCTTATCGTTACAATTTACTCGTCGCATAATTTCTCTTTTAATTCAAGCACAAATTCTGATCAAATTATTCGTAATTTTCGTAGCGAAGCTATTGTCCTCCATGACTTTCAATTTATTCCGCCAAGGTATATCGTGTTACGACAATTATAATGTTGTGTTGTCGCATTCGTGAGATATTGTTGTCCGCGGTTGAAGAAATATATTCTTGTCAGGGTGAAAATATAGAATTTTATACGATATAATTTTATCAAATATAATTTTATTAATAAAACTGGCATGATTTTGTGGGACACGCGTTAGATGCACCGAGACTGCATTATCAACAGGCTGCACCCTGATATGCAACTCAACTTCTAGAGGGCAGCAACTATTAGACATGCAATAATCGTTAGAGCAAATTAAACATTTAGAAAGCCTGAATTAGAGACTGGAGAAAAGCATTTCCGTGACCTACATGTAGTAATGCATGCTTTTTTTTATTATTTCTAAATTGATTTCAATCGCATTCTTGTACAATGTTGTGTTGGAAAAGTAATAGGACTGGTAACGGACTAGTAACGCTGAAGTGGAAATAGTGAAAAATGAAGTTCGGAAAATAAAAAAATATTTCCTTCGAGCCGGATTTGAACCAGCGACCTATGGATGTCTCCCAAGTAACCAACCAACTACAGTCCACCGCTCTACCAACTGAGCTATCGAAGGCGACACGGAATTCCGTCGTTAGAACGTAAACAATCTATGTGTTCGCTTCCGTAAACCTATCAAGGCCATCTATCCACAGTAATAAACGCTAACAAAAAATGGAGAAGAAAAGCCATATATATGTATATATTCGCTATTTATTCCTTGTTTGAGATCTTTTGTCATTTACGAAGCAGTCATAAATTACTGAATGAACATTTGCATAGGCTACTCTCGATGACGACAACAAACAATGAAAATCTTTTGTTGACCGAAAACAAAATCACTGAATACGTAGGGCCTAATTTAATCTCGGTATCGATAGAATCGTTAACTGGAAACAAGAGACAGGCGAACGTGTAACCTTGAAAACTATCCAGAAATTTCCATGATATATCGGTAAGGTTAGGTTGTGATTGACACGAAAGCTGATGACAGTTGAACGCGGCATGGACGGATCGTGACATTCGGAATCACGAGACAACTTTCGGTTTACGACGGACAGATAGACAGCGTCATTGCATGGGAACATCGCGGTGATTCCGAGAATTCGATGACATACAGATAGGTAACCTAAAAATCACTCACCGAAAGCAGACGTTGCTGTCTCGTCGAAACACTCGTTCACGGTGGCATTCACTGTATCGTCACTCGTTTTACAATTTCTCTGTCGCACGTGTGTATAATAACGTGTACCAAAAATACGTACGGTTTTATGCGTACATAGTCAATGACAATCTACAACCTCACCATGGTGTAAGAAAAACTTCTTAGCTTGATATAAGCAGTTGCAATAGGTGGCGCGTCGATCTTTTTTCGGTTCGTATCTCCGCAAAATTGGGATAACTAACGACATCTTACGGCAATGTGTTTAACTGCTCTAAATATCCACACCAAATAGTTATCAAAATCTTTTACAATTGTAAGAACGTTCAATTAAATATGTAACGTGATAAAAATAATATTGTGCAGTATGCACTTAAAAAATTGTGTATTTGCTAAATACCGTTTTACATCATATTGTATTTCGAATGTTCCCGCGCCATGTGTAGGTTTACAATTTTGAAGTTAAGAAGTTCGAAGATTTTGATAGGAGTTTCACGTCTATCCAAGGCATATAGTTTATGTCGCCTGCGAGAATATATAGTCTGGTAATTCAAAACAGATTATTGTTAATATTAAGAACTAATCATCTAAACAAATACTAAAATATAAAAAAGCAAATATTTCGTGTTGAGAACACATGGCAAATTTTTTAATAGTAAAAGTGTGTCAAACGGAGAAACTCTGTAGATCGCAAATTTTTAGTTATATGTTTAGATTACGTATTGAAATTCGACTAAAATATTATCAAAGCTGCCATAAATATTTATGGGGTGTCTAAATATTTAAATTTTGGTCACGTTCTTCTTTATCGCAATGCATGCCCAAATGAGCCAATCTCGTCGCGGAGAATTTGAATTTAAATAATGTAGTCGTCACTTCAAATGACAGTTGCTATCAGTTGCTATTCGTCGAGCGGCATGTGATGAGGAACGAATGTCTTGGATTTTTAATTAAGAACAAAGTAGCCAATCATTGAAAAAGCCACGCTGCTTCGTTCAAAAAGTAATTACTATAAATATGTCAGACAACATCAAAGTGGGAATTAAGTTGAAAACCTTGATCGATGAAGGAAAAGAGGAGGGTTCGTCGAAAGTATGGTTGGTTTTATTGTTTAATGATACTATGAAATTTTTGTTACAATAATTCCCATAAATTCTCTATGCAAATTCGTTTCGTTAGAATATAAGGAATGGAAAACCATCCACAGAAGTAGAGAATGTAGAATCCGAATTACAAGAGAAGTATCAAAGCAATTGTTTACTAGAAGATCGTATCACGTTGTTAAAGAATCAAATTATTTCTGGAACTAACACAAACCGTTCGGAACCATTTAAATGTAAATCTAGAAGACGGAAAAGTTGGTGCAACAGTGGAACGTTCAAATCGCAATTGCCTATGTTTAAAAATAAATCTGGCTTACCAACGATTAAAGAAATGTCGCCCGAAAAACCATTAAAAAAAGACAACGAGCAATCGGTCGATGTCTCAGATCAGAGTAAATTGATCATGTTGCACTATCTTCTTACGACATATGCATTCATAATACGGTAATTCATTTTTTTAAACTTGCAGCATTTCAGACAGCTTTTACTGACTTTGAATTAGGCTTGATACAATGTAAACTAGATTCTGAAACTAAAAAAAATGCTCATTGTATCGAGGAGGAGGGTATCGATTTTTTGCCTGTTGAAGAATTTGGGAATAATAGCGGTTACTTAATGCCGGGCAAACAAGATTCATGTGTACAAACTATATTAAGGTATTCATTCTTCATGAAAAACAGTGCTTTTGATGGCGGTAGTAATTTAGTGTGATTTTGTTAACTGGAATAGGTATCCAAAATCTCCTAGTACATCAAAGAAAGTTCTACGTGAGTGTATTGCCGACTTGACTAAAGATCTTATTGAACTCCGTGAATTCACCACTTTAGAGAAACAGATAATGTGCGGGGAAATTCATCCTAATACGGATGTAAGTGAATTAACTTTTTATGATAAAATATTGCAATCTGTAAGTAACCATCTATTTGATTTTTAGAACGTGGAAGAACAAGTGTTGGATCAGTCTGTCCCAATTACACACGATGAGAATGAACTTTATCTACACTCTTCAAATTTAATAGTTGAGTTAGATGAAGAGAAAGTCAAGCTAGCGGAAAAACTTGAATTGAAAATTAAGGAGCACACTGGAGAGGAGAACACGTTAGCTATTGATAATAAGAAATTGAAGGATGANGTAAGTGAATTAACTTTTTATGATAAAATATTGCAATCTGTAAGTAACCATCTATTTGATTTTTAGAACGTGGAAGAACAAGTGTTGGATCAGTCTGTCCCAATTACACACGATGAGAATGAACTTTATCTACACTCTTCAAATTTAATAGTTGAGTTAGATGAAGAGAAAGTCAAGCTAGCGGAAAAACTTGAATTGAAAATTAAGGAGCACACTGGAGAGGAGAACACGTTAGCTATTGATAATAAGAAATTGAAGGATGAATTAAACACAGTCAGGGGATCCATGATCAAGGAATTGAAGTCGTTTAAACATAAATTGAATTCGGTCGACTTGTTGAGTAAAACTGCAAACGAAATTTTCATTATCTTTCTACAGACTCTCATGGCTAAGGAAGAGGAGCTCATTAAAACTATGAGAGACTCATTCGAACAAGACAAACAAAACCTGGAAGACGAGAAAAGGCAGAGTGCTGATGCGGAGAAACGCGCGATGTTGTGGGCTAATGAATTAGAAAGGGAAACTGAAAAATTACAGATTGACTTGACAAAACGCGAATCTGCCCACATACTACAACAGAACAGAATCTACGAGCTGGAACATCTTTTAAAGGAGAACAATTCCGAGAAAGAAACGCTTAAAGAAAAGATGGAGACATTGAAAACTGATTTAAACAACTTGCAAAATGAATTCGATAGGCAATGCAAACTGGTTTGTCGACGGGAGGAAGCAATTGTAATTGCTCAGAAGAAAGAAAAGGTAATACAAGAAGAGTGTAGAAAGAGAGAAACTGAATTTCAAAAGAAAGTAAACTCCCAGAAAGAGACTTATGAGAAGAGAATAGAGGATCTTGTGTACGCCATAGAAACTTACAAGACAAAAAATCAGGAGCTGAAAAGTAATATCGAAGGACTCGAAGCTAACGAAAAGCAGTTGAAGAATATTATTGAGGCGAACGCGTTGGAACTGAAGGCGAGCAATCAGACCATAAATAAATTGAACCTTAAGATGGAACAGCTCGTAGAAGTCCACAAAAACGTGAATTGTGAGGTACAGCAAAAGACGTCTCGAATCGACGAGATTTCAGCGCTTCTAAAAAAGAAATGCGACGTTGCATCCGAATACAAGACTAAGCTTGATACCATTTTACCGGATTATGAAATATTAAAGGAACAGGTGAAGGAGTGTAAAGCATGCATAGAGCGATATAAAGAACAAATGGAAGTACTAAAAATGGAAAAGGACGAGCAGATTGAGATAATTAAAGATAAACTAAAGTCCGAGGAAATAAAAAACATTGGATTAAACAAGCAACTACACGAATTGAACAACAAAAACATAGCTCTAGTGGAGAAGATGGATATCCTCAAAAAAAAAATTGCGGGTTTACAAAGTGTAAATTCGAAGCTAGAGAAAAAGATCCGGAACAGCACTAGTAAGATCAAAGCGGAAGCAGAGATGGAAGATCTAAGGGATTTAAATAAAAGATTGCAAAACAATTTGGAGGGAGCCAGTAATCGTATAACAAAGCTACAGGAATCAAAAAATAAGATTTTAAAAGAATTAGTGGATTTGAAAGGTCAGTACGAGGTGTTATCCCAAGAGAATGCTGAGATCAAGACAACGTTTAAATCGTACAAATCCGAGCAAGAATCTTCGTCTTTTTCGCTTGATGATAGTAAGTACAATGCTGTGATGCAAGAGAAAAATAAAACTGCCTTGGAATTGGAAGACAAAAAATTGTTGTTAAATCAAAATGATAAAGACATTAAGGAATATTCTAGGCGCGCACTGGAATTGACTGTTAAAAATAGAGATCTCAATGAACTGTTGAAAAACCATGCTACAATCATAGACGAACGTGAGAAGGAGATCTCGAAGCTGAAAGATAAATTGTACCTCCATCGAATAGAGAATAAACTGATCAAGGAATTGGAAGAAAAGTTGCAAAATCTCAGGGAGGAGAACAAAAAGCTTCAGAAAAAGCTCGAGTCTTTCAAATCAAGACCACAAATTGATCTGGAACAGACAGATGACATGAAATTGCATAATGAAAATGTTTTGGACTCACTTAGAAAAAATATCACAGAGCTACAAGAAAAACTAAATGAATACGAGAATAAATTGGAAATAAAAAGTAACAGCAATGGCTCGAGAAGTGCCAGTCCAGGTTTTGAAATAAGTAGAAGACACAGTAGAAATAAAATATTCAACGAGAAAAGACCACTTGAAAATCAAACTGATGAAATAAATATTGATGAGAGTGATGAGACATGCCAAATATTACGAAAGAAAATTCAAGAGTTGGAGTTGCAGATTGTAGCCAAAAATGGGCAAATAGAAACATTGGAAATTCAAATTCAAAGCGAAAACTTCCCTTATCATCAGAAGTGCAAGAAATTTGAAGAACTTCTTCTATCATATCGTAATAAAGTGCGTACAATAAAAACATGAGAAGCAATATAAGGATTATTTGTAAACATAGTTACTTTTTGTTGACAGAACATTGATCTTACTTCTGAAGTAAGTAAACTTGAAAGGGCTTTGAATGACGTAAACGCATTGGAATGTGATACATGTAGGAAATGGAAAACAAACAGAAGAGCCCAGGGTTGCCAAACATCCCCTGACAAACCGGCACGTTTATTGACTCTACACAATGGAATAGTTGATGTAAGTAACGGTAAGAAGTATAATTTAGTGTTAGATATGTTTAATTGCATTATTGTCATAGGATCACACAAAGCTAATGAAGTTGGAAAAGGAGAAGACGTATATGATGGACCTCTGCCGGCAACAGAACCGTAGAATAAAAAAACTTGAAGATGCATTGAAAGAACGTTCTCAGGGAACATCTAATGATCAGTATACATGCTCCACAATATTTAATAAGCGATTTAATATGGAAAATAATATGAAACCGTGAGAATCATCATATTCAGATTTTCTAAACGCAATTTCTGTTAGTGCTATCGCTTAGTGACATAACATAGATTATATATGTATTGCAGTTTTAAATCAGTGATATTTACCAAAGTATAAAGCGTACTAATTTAAGTTTAAACACAGGGGATAATTATCTACTACTGAATGAATAATTGTCATATCTACATTCTAGAAAATGCTTTGCCTTTAGGTGCATGGTATGCTTGGACTGGACGCCATGCTTCATTAGCGTTTCTGTCCTTCTTCGCTATGCTTCCAAAAGTGTTCGATGTTCTGTATTTACATGTACGACGATTAATGTTTTCTGCAGATCAGTGAAAACAATCGTTCCAGCTAATTTATTGGAGCTTCGAAATCCAGTAAACTATAGAAGAAACTTATGGAACAATTATTAGTTAAAAAGGTTGTAGTCTTCCAATGAGCTGTTTAAATAACGGCTAATATTACTGTTGAAGATTCCGAAACACAGTGGGTCTATCACTTAAGGATTAGTATCCTTCCTTTGTTTTTAAAGGTCGTGTAAATAGCAGTAATGATAAGAATATTTATATTTCAACAAGTTCTATTTTTGTACTTTCTTATTATTATTATGTAAATAACTGTACCACTAACTTTTATATTAATGACGTTAAATATGGCAACAACACGCCACTTTATAATTAAACGTGAAATCTGTGATTCCGGACACACTGTTACAGAATAAAAAGTGCCATGAGTTAAAAGTTCTTCCGCGTTTATATTTAGGTTCTATCTATTATTTAATTATGACATGTAGTACTAAAATTAATACTAATATTCATTTTAATAAAGTACTTCATACTGTACTACTACAGCACTGTTCTTAATTTAAATAATTACAACAAAATTATTCGATTTGGAAATACACATTTGAATTCAAATATGATAAAGCAAAAGGTAAGTTTTGGACACATTGGAACAAGAATATCAAACAATTTTGCTCTAAATATCCACACCAAATAGATATCAAAATCATTTTCAATTGTATGAACGTTCAATTAAATATGTAACATGATAAAAATAATATTGTGAAGTATGCACTTAAAAAGCTGTATATTTGCTAAATACCGTTTTACGTCATATTGTATTTCGAATGTTCCCGCGCCATGTGTAGGTTTACAATTTTGAAGTTAAGAAGTTCGAAGATTTTGGTAGGAGTTTTACATCTATCCAAGGCATATAGTTTATGTCGCCTGCGCGAATATATATAGTCTGGTAATTCAAAACAGATTATTGTTACTATTAAGAACTAATCATCTAAACAAATATTAAAATATAAAAAAGCAAATATTTCTTGTTGAGACCACATGGCAAATTTTTTAATAGTAAAAGTGTGTCAAACGAAGAAACTCTGTAGATCGCAAATTTTTAGTTATATGTTTAGATTACGTATTGAAATTCGACTAAAATATTATCAAAGCTGCCATAAATATTTATGGGGTGTCTAAATATTTAAAATTTGGTCACGTTCTTCCTTTATCGCAATGCATGCCCAAATGAGCTAATTTCGTCGCGGAGAATTTGAATTTAAATAATGCAGTCGTCATTTCAAATGACAGTTGCTATCAGTTGCTATTCGTCGAGCGACATGTGATGAGGAACGAATGTCTTGGATTATTAATTAAGAACAAAGTAGCCAAACATTGAAAAAACCACGCTGCTTCGTTCAAAAAGTAATAATAAGTATTTAGAATTGTAAGACTATTTGATAAATATATTTTATATCAACTACAGTATACTTTATAATATGATATATTTTTTCAGACAATAGAAAGTCGTGAAATTGGTGATAATTCAGGAAATGTACAAATATCACAATTGAACTTGGTGGATCTTGCTGGTTTTGAAAGAGCACATAAGATTGATGTCCATAATTGTTCAACTGAATATTTTACAAAATGTGCAAAAGGACATCAGTTTTCCTAAAAGTAAATTAATAGAGATTTTGCAGCCATCAATAAGTGGGAATTCTTTGACAGCTATAATATTCACAGTGATACCCGTTTCTTCAGAGGAAACCTATTTCACTCTGTCGTTAGTATACTATTATTATAGTATGTCCTGATATAACTGTATAAATTTTATTTTCAATAATTTAAAAAATTTTTGTTAGGTTTGCTTGTCAGGCTAATACACTTAAGACTAAGCCAAAGAGAATTGAAATTACATCTGATACGTCATTATTAGTGCGTTACGCGAAACAGTTAACTAAACTTCAAACAGAGCTGTAGGTTCGTTCTATATTTTATTGTTTAATGATACTATGAAATTTTTGTTACAATAATTCCCATAAATTCTCTATGCAAATTCATTTCGTTAGAATATAAGGAATGGAAAACCATCCACAGAAGTAGCGAATGTAGAATCCAAATTACGAGAGAAGTATCAAAGCAATTGTTTACTAGAAGATCGTATCACGTTGTTAAAGAATCAAATTATTTCTGGAATTAACACAAACCGTTCGGAACCATTTAAATGTAAATCTAGAAGACGGAAAATTTGGTACAACAGTGGAACGTTCAAATCGCAATTACCTATGTTTAAAAATAAATCTGGCTTACCAACAATTAAAGAAATGTCGCTCGAAAAACCATTCAAAAAAGACAACGAGCAATCAGTCGATGTCTCAGATCAGAGTAAATTGATCATGTTGCACTATCTTCTTACGACATATGCATTCATAATATGGTAATTCATTTTTTTATACTTGCAGCATTTCAGACAGATTTTAATAATTTTGAATTAGACTTGACACAATGTAAATTAGATTCTGAAACTAAAAAAAATGCTCATCGTATCGAGGAGGAGTGTATCGATTTTTTGCCTGTTGAAGAATCTGGGAATAATAGCGGTTACTTAACGCCGGGCAAGCAAGATTCATGTGTACAAACTATATTAAGGTATTCATTCTTTATGAAAAACAGTACTTTCGATGGCGGTAGTAATTTAGTGTGATTTTGTTAACTGGAATAGGTATCCAAAATCTCCTAGTACATCAAAGAAAGTTCTACGTGAGTGTATTGCCGACTTGACTAAAGATCTTATTGAACTCCGTGAATTCACCACTTTAGAGAAACAGATAATGTGCGGGGAAATTCATCCTAATACGGATGTAAGTGAATTAACTTTTTATGATAAAATATTGCAATCTGTAAGTAACCATCTATTTGATTTTTAGAACGTGGAAGAACAAGTGTTGGATCAGTCTGTCCCAATTACACACGATGAGAATGAACTTTATCTACACTCTTCAAATTTAATAGTTGAGTTAGATGAAGAGAAAGTGAAGCTAGCGGAAGAACTTGAATTGAAAATTAAGGAGCTAGATGAAATAAAAAATGATATTCTAGGTCTTAAGTTAGATATAGAAAAATTGGAAGAGACTATCGTCTTACTGACAAACGAAAATATGGAAATGTCAACCAAACTGAACAGCGAGAAGGAACGCTCAAATGAAGCTGAGCTTCATTATGAAAAAATAATTGATAACCTTCATGCGCGCATTTCCCGAATGGAAGAAAAGATTAATTTGGAGAGTAATTTAACGGTTCTAAACGAGCAACTGCAATCTCTTCGTTTGCAAACGTCGAGTGATGAACAGCTGCTTGTAAAATATGAGAATAAAATTGATACTTTAAAGATGGAGAATATCAAACTGAGTGTCACTATCACAGAAAAGAATAAGGAACTTGAAGAGATCAAAAAAAGCAAGTCACTTTTGTATGACTATGAATGTATCTACAAAGCCAAAATCGCGGTTCTTACAGAGAAAAATGCAAGCTTAATGATTGAGAACAACGAGCTTTCAAATGACTTGATGGACAGGATCCAAGAAAATGAGATGCTGCAAAAGGAGTGCAATATCTTAAAGAACAAAGTAACATTAGCGGGTGAAGTGAATGCTAATGAAAACAACATAGAATATTTGCAATCGGAGAACAATGGTCTGAGAGCTGAGGTGATGGAGTTGAAGATGAAGGTCACAATGTTGTCGGAGGAAAATGTAAAAACTTCGAATAATTTGTTTGAGGCCATGGAAGATCTCGACAATTCACGTTGTGAGAAACTAACTAACACCTCAATACATTCATCTCGCATGTTCGATAATCCTAACGAAGCAAATCAATTAACGGAAGAAGTACCATCAGAAGAAAGTCGTGAAGTGTTACTTGACAAAGTTGAAATGTTACAGGATAAGGTCGATCAATTAACTTGCTTGAATAAAAAGCTAAGCGACTTGAAGTTGACTTCCTGCAGTCAATGCACACATGTTAAAAATTTAAAAGACAGTCGCAGAGCCCTGAAGATCGAGACCAAAATTTTGAACCGTAAATTGGAAGATCTGCAAAAGAAATTCGATGAGAAATGCATAGACATCGAGGCGTTAAAGTTGAAAGCTAATCAAGACCTGAATTTGAGCTTCTCCGACTCGTCTTCAAATGTCAGTTTCGCAGACGGATTGAATGTCACCTTTGTCGAGGAAAAAGTTCACCATCTAAACAACGAGTTACAAACGTTAAAGGACGACAATGACAAACTATCAGTATTGTATCAGGAAAAATGCGATGAACTTGAGAAGTTGCACGATGAAGCAGGTGATGTAGATTCTAAATCAAAGAAAAATATTATTAAACACGAGACTAGGATTCAAAAAATTAAATCCAGTATCGATCAGGTGAGGGATGATATCGACGAGTTGAAGAAAAATAGCATGAACTTTGCTTCCATGTTAAGTAAATTCAGAACAGAAAAAGCACGTCTATTGGACGAGATAAATACATTACGATGTATTAACGAAGAACTGCAACAAAAAGTGTCTGACAGTGAAATATCGGCGGTCACTGCCACTGAGAAGGCACATATTCTTGAAACTGAATTATTAAGCATGAGCAAGGAGATTGAACAGTATTCTGAGAAAGAGAAGGAGATCAAGAACGAAAAGTTGAAGTTGGAAGTCGAGCTAGAAAACAAAGATATTACAATTAATACGTTGCACAAAACCATAGACGATTTAAACGGGTGTATCTCGTCTCTGAAAAACGAGGTGGACTCAATGGTGAGTCAGAGAAACGAGGTAAATGATTGCACAAAGGTCATTGAAAAAAAATACAAAGAGGAACTGGAATTACTGCAGATGGAATATCAAAAATTAAATGCAGAAAGGAAACAATGTACGGACACGGAGAAACGAGCTACATTGTGGGTCAAAGAATTAGAAAAAGATGTAGAGAAACTGCAGACGGATCTAGGAAAACAGGAAAGTCTGTACAAAGAAGTGCAAGAAAAGGTTTCCCAGTTGGAAAGCCTTTTGAAGGAAAGCGAATCTGAGAAGGAAACATTAAAGCAGAATTTGCAGTCCCTCGAACTTCAGTTGACCGATTCTAAAGATAATTTAGCGATTAAGTATAAAATAGAGTTCAAATCCATAGAAGAGAAGTTTCAACAGTACACAAAAGAATCAGAGATCAAATTACAGAAAATTAATGAAACGGTAAATAATTATGTTGACGAGAACGATAATCTAATGCAAGAGATTGCAAAGCTTCGGGCCATCGAATTAAAACTCCAGGAAATGAAGGAAAACAATGGAGAGGAGAACACGTTAGCTATTGATAATAAGAAATTGAAGGATGAATTAAACACAGTCAGGGGATCCATGATCAAGGAATTGAAGTCGTTTAAACATAAATTGAATTCGGTCGACTTGTTGAGTAAAACTGCAAACGAAATTTTCATTATCTTTCTACAGACTCTCATGGCTAAGGAAGAGGAGCTCATTAAAACTATGAGAGACTCATTCGAACAAGACAAACAAAACCTGGAAGACGAGAAAAGGCAGAGTGCTGATGCGGAGAAACGCGCGATGTTGTGGGCTAATGAATTAGAAAGGGAAACTGAAAAATTACAGATTGACTTGACAAAACGCGAATCTGCCCACATACTACAACAGAACAGAATCTACGAGCTGGAACATCTTTTAAAGGAGAACAATTCCGAGAAAGAAACGCTTAAAGAAAAGATGGAGACATTGAAAACTGATTTAAACAACTTGCAAAATGAATTCGATAGGCAATGCAAACTGGTTTGTCGACGGGAGGAAGCAATTGTAATTGCTCAGAAGAAAGAAAAGGTAATACAAGAAGAGTGTAGAAAGAGAGAAACTGAATTTCAAAAGAAAGTAAACTCCCAGAAAGAGACTTATGAGAAGAGAATAGAGGATCTTGTGTACGCCATAGAAACTTACAAGACAAAAAATCAGGAGCTGAAAAGTAATATCGAAGGACTCGAAGCTAACGAAAAGCAGTTGAAGAATATTATTGAGGCGAACGCGTTGGAACTGAAGGCGAGCAATCAGACCATAAATAAATTGAACCTTAAGATGGAACAGCTCGTAGAAGTCCACAAAAACGTGAATTGTGAGGTACAGCAAAAGACGTCTCGAATCGACGAGATTTCAGCGCTTCTAAAAAAGAAATGCGACGTTGCATCCGAATACAAGACTAAGCTTGATACCATTTTACCGGATTATGAAATATTAAAGGAACAGGAGACGGAGCGTAAAGCATGCATAGAGCGATATAAAGAACAAATGGAAGTACTAAAAATGGAAAAGGACGAGCAGATTGAGATAATTAAAGATAAACTAAATTACGAGGAAATAAAAAACATTGGATTAAACAAGCAACTACACGAATTGAACAACAAAAACATAGCTCTAGTAGAGGAGATAGATATCCTCAAAAAAAAAATTGCGGGTTTACAAAGTGTAAATTCGAAGCTAGAGAAAAAGATCCGGAACAGCACTAGTAAGATCAAAGCGGAAGCAGAGATGGAAGATCTAAGGGATTTAAATAAAAGATTGCAAAACAATTTGGAGGGAGCCAGTAATCGTATAACAAAGCTACAGGAATCAAAAAATAAGATTTTAAAAGAATTAGTGGATTTGAAAGGTCAGTACGAGGTGTTATCCCAAGAGAATGCTGAGATCAAGACAACGTTTAAATCGTACAAATCCGAGCAAGAATCGTCGTCTTTTTCGCTTGATGATAATAAGTACAATGCTATGTTGCAAGAGAAAAATAAAACTGCCTTGGAATTGGAAGACAAAAAATTGTTGTTAAATCAAAATGATAAAGACATTAAGGAATATTCTAGGCGCGCACTGGAATTGACTGTTAAAAATAGAGATCTCAATGAACTGTTGAAAAACCATGCTACAATCATAGACGAACGTGAGAAGGAGATCTCGAAGCTGAAAGATAAATTGTACCTCCATCGAATAGAGAATAAACTGATCAAGGAATTGGAAGAAAAGTTGCAAAATCTCAGGGAGGAGAACAAAAAGCTTCAGAAAAAGCTCGAGTCTTTCAAATCAAGACCACAAATTGATCTGGAACAGACAGATGACATGAAATTGCATAATGAAAATGTTTTGGACTCACTTAGAAAAAATATCACAGAGCTACAAGAAAAACTAAATGAATACGAGAATAAATTGGAAATAAAAAGTAACAGCAATGGCTCGAGAAGTGCCAGTCCAGGTTTTGAAATAAGTAGAAGAAACAGTAGAAATAAAATATTCAACGAGAAAAGACCACTTGAAAATCAAACTGATGAAATAAATATTGATGAGAGTGATGAGACATGCCAAATATTACGAAAGAAAATTCAAGAGTTGGAGTTGCAGATTGTAGCCAAAAATGGGCAAATAGAAACATTGGAAATTCAAATTCAAAGCGAAAACTTCCCTTATCATCAGAAGTGCAAGAAATTTGAAGAACTTCTTCTATCATATCGTAATAAAGTGCGTACAATAAAAACATGAGAAGCAATATAAGGATTATTTGTAAACATAGTTACTTTTTGTTGACAGAACATTGATCTTACTTCTGAAGTAAGTAAACTTGAAAGGGCTTTGAATGACGTAAACGCATTGGAATGTGATACATGTAGGAAATGGAAAACAAACAGAAGAGCCCAGGGTTGCCAAACATCCCCTGACAAACCGGCACGTTTATTGACTCTACACAATGGAATAGTTGATGTAAGTAACGGTAAGAAGTATAATTTAGTGTTAGATATGTTTAATTGCATTATTGTCATAGGATCACACAAAGCTAATGAAGTTGGAAAAGGAGAAGACGTATATGATGGACCTCTGCCGGCAACAGAACCATAGAATAAAAGAACTTGAAGATGCATTGAAAGAACGTTCTCAGGGAGCATCTAATGATGTATACATGCTCCACAATATTTAATAAGTGATTTAATATGGAAAATAATATGAAACCGTGAGAATCATCATATTCAGATTTTCTAAACGCAATTTCTGTTAGTGCTATCGCTAACCGTAGCTAAGCGTACTAATTTAAGTTTAAACACAGGGGTTTATTATCTACTACTGAATGAATAATTATCATATCTACATTCTAGAAAATGCTTTGCCTTTAGGTGCATGGTATGCTTGGACTGGACGCCATGCTTCATTAGCGTTTCTGTCCTTCTTCGCTATGCTTCCAAAAGTGTTCGATGTTCTGTATTTACATGTACGACGATTAATGTTTTCTGCAGATCAGTGAAAACAATCGTTCCAGCTAATTTATTGGAGCTTCGAAATCCAGTAAACTATAGAAGAAACTTATGGAACAATTATTAGTTAAAAAGGTTCTAGTCTTCCAATGAGCTNCAGTAAACTATAGAAGAAACTTATGGAACAATTATTAGTTAAAAAGGTTCTAGTCTTCCAATGAGCTGTTTAAATAACGGGTAATATTACTGTTGAATATTCCGAAACACAACGGGTCTATCACTTAAGTATTAGTATCCTTCCATTGTTTTTAAAGATCGTGTAAATAGCAGTAACGATAAGAATATTTATATTTCAACAAGTTCTATTTTTGTACTTTTTTATTATTATTATGTAAATAACTGTACCACTAACTTTTATATTAATGACGTTAAAGATGGCAGCAACACGCCACTTTATAATTAAACGTGAAATCTGTGATTCCGGACACATTGATACAGAATAAAAAGTGCCATGAGTTAAAAGTTCTTCCGCGTTTATATTTAGGTTCTATCTATTATTTAATTATGACATGTAGTACTAAAATTAATACTAATATTCATTTTAATAAAGTACTTCATACTGTACTACTACAGCACTGTTCTTAATTTAAATAATTACAACGAAATTGTTCGATTTGGAAATACACATTTGAATTCAAATATGATAAAGCAAAAGGTAAGTTTTGGACACATTGGAACAAGAATATCAAACAATTTTTTCTGACGTTTGCATTCAAGAATGAAAAACCATCAGTTGATTAAGTGTCATCATCAATGCCTCTAAGAAAACCTGCACTTTTAGCTACTGGAATGCAAATACCTTCCCCACCTCTACATCTAGCATAACAAATAAATGTGTAAATGGGAAACATCTACTTTTAAGGTAATATTTTATTCTGTCTTGCCAATAGGAAATGAAAATGGATTAATGTTCAATTATACCCAATATCCTACCAACAAGAAAAAGTAAGCAAGTCTTTTTATTTCAGAATGGAGCACATATGGTAAAGAAAAATAAATTTTACGCATGTTCTTTTTTTTGGTTGTTTAAATTTTATTAAGAATATAAACACAAATGAATGCGTAGCAAGGTGTTCTGCCAGTATGTTGGTCCCTAAAACATAAAATAGAAACGCATTTATTATATATCTTAGCAAAAATTAAAAGCATTACTGAAAAAAATTAAATTATATCAGGATAAGTTTGAACAATCTACAGGATATAAAGTGTTGTACGCACTTTTCGGTCCGCCCGTCCATAGTATCATCATTTTTAATGTGTAATTAAGAGATTCTATATTAAAGTCTATACTGAAATAAGTACTTGCATATTTAAGCAGAGAGGACACAAGCTCCTCCAACAGCCTTGATTTTGTCTTCTGCCAATTTACTGAAGAATTTGGCTTTAACAATAACTGGTTGTTTAGGAAGGCGTCCTTTTCCTAGAAGTTTATAGTAGCCCTGTAAAAATCGAGAAAAAATAAAAACAGTTTATTTAAATGTGAATCGAAACAAATGCATATATACTTCTCAACTTACCGCTTTTACAAGATTAATTACTGGTACTTTACTCTTTGAGTCCTTATATTTAAGCCTAGTCTGTTCTGATACCAGTGTCCATAATTTGTCCAAATTTAAGGCTGGACACCACTTTGTGTTACGCCTTAAATGGTAATTTCGCATACCAAGCTATAAAATATATTAAACATTGGCTACAAACTTCATGAAGTATCATGCATTGAATTTTTGTATTGCTAATCAGACCGTGAAGTATATTCAAAGTAATTCAGCTCGCCAGTGAACTAAACATTATCATCACAATAAAAGATATTTCTATATTATTATAGATAAGTTACATGGATCTTACTTTTCCAAAATACCCAGGGTGGTATTTGTCAAAGTTGATACGGTGATGGTGAAGACCACCGGCATTACCGCGACCACCAGGATGTTTCCTGTGTTTACCTGGAATAAAATATTGTTGAGTTAGTAAATTAAATACATGTATAAATCCTATAACTATATACTACAATAATTAAAATGTAGTAATTTTTACGTACCTATACGACCGTGACCATGACTGACGTGACCACGAAGCTTCCTGGTCTTCTTTTTGTGTGTAGACTATTTAACAAGAAGGAAACAAACTATCAGTAACAATTAATTAATAAAAAAACATATGAAATAACAAAATATTGTTTTTGTCGAGCAGGTTATGTTTGAACACCAACGCAACACCATAAGGCCCAGACTATTTATAATCTATGTGCGATTATACACTTTGCAAGAAAATAATCCCAAGAAATTGTTCATGAAAGTATGAACGACATCATTGTCACAATAATTAATCTAATTTCACTGAGATGCTTTTAATATTTTCTGATTACGGAGAAAGAATTTTAACATCACTCACTCACCATCTTGGTTGCGATGCGAAGAAAGAGGAAACAGCGCTGTCTCCTCGTCAAAGTTGCTAAATTTTATCTAGATGGCGTTTTTTAGAATACAATTTAATCATGAACTATCTACGTACCACATAGAATAGCACTACGTTGTATGTATGAGCATATAGTTTTCATGCAATTAATCTTCGATTACTAAATTCTTCGAACACTAAAACGAGTGTTCGTTTCATTCATAAATGCATAATAATCCTCAGCGGAATGATACGAAAAAGTAATCTGTAAGTGAATGTATATAAGACAATTGTATTTACAGCCAAAATATTTATACAAAATTTCATCGACAGATATCAAAACATTAATCTGCATGTTTAGGTTAATCTCATTTAACATAAATTAAAAATTTACTTTTTAACGAAGAAATAATTATGGCATTTGAGAGCATAGAAATGGACCAAGAATTAGCACGAAGGCTTTTAGTCGAAGGTGCTAAATTAGTTATATTAAATGTTCCAAGTGGGACAGAAATGGGTATCGATTTAAAATCTTGGAACACAGCAGATAATTTTAAGGGTATTAAAATGATTCCACCAGGATTTCACTATGTACATTACAGGTAATTATCAATTGCATATGATTTAACACTTTTATCTGTGTAGTAATTGCTTTTCTAATTATTCATTTCTGTTAAAGTGCTATAGATAAGTTTGGAGAATTAGCACCTAAAATTGGATTCCTTCATACATTTAAGAAATCTGAATTTTTAGTCAAACAGTGGGATGTGAAAACAGAAGATCTTAGTTCAGAAGGTATGTATATCTTGGATAAATTAATATTTTAATAAGATAAAATTTATTTCATTCAGCTGTGTCAGAAGAAACAGTACAAAGATTGAAGGATAACTTAAAAGATTTGGATAAATATCTAGGCTGTTATCCTTATGATACATGGAAACAATGGATAGATTTAACAGATCACATTAGCCCATCTCTTGTTGAACGTTGTTCACCTATATGTGGGTCTGTATATAAAAAAGTATCCATTTACTAATTTAAGTCTGTAGTATATTATAAAACTTGTACACCTTATTTCAGCTTTGTAAGATCAGCTCTAGAGTTAGAGCCTTGCAGTGATGCAATGAGACCAAGAGGAGGAGCATTGAATCCAGAAAAAACAAAAAGAACTGGAATTACTGTGGAAGAAAAGGAGAATGAGCTGCTTCCCAATTTAAAACCTAAGCCAGGCACAGAACTTCGATTATCCAAGTTGCCTGATAAAAATTATCCAGATGGAGCATCACCAAGTGAAATCACAAAACACTCCCTTGATTCTAGCTATGCTCTGGATACATTTTTAAAGGAATTACCACAGTAAGATTAGAAAACTCTTCTATTGTGGTATATGTATAAGCTGAAGATAGAAATGTATTAATTTAATTTTCAGATCTATGGACATTATTGGTGAAATGCAACTGGCATTTGTTTGTTTCCTCGTTGGACAAAGTTTGGATGCGTTTGAACATTGGAAAAAGCTCATATGCCTGGTTTGCGGTGCCGATTCTATAATTCCAAACCGACGTGACATCTTCATGGAATTTCTGAAAGCGTTGGAGATCCAGTTAACTCATGTACCTGAGGATGTATTATGCGATATTGTAGCTAACAATAATTTTGTTTACCAAAATCTACGGAAACTGTTTGGAAGCATTGAAATCAATTCCTATATAGATGGTCGTTTGAAGACTTACGCTACGCGGTTTCGTAATCGGTTAACGACAAAATTCTTGTGGGATTTTTCTAATTTACACGAAGAAGACGACGATGAAGCGCCTGTAGTCGTACTATTGGAATAAAACAATACACATATGTGTTTAGAACGGAGGTTGAAGGTATTAATTACAAATGTACATACTTTTTCTTGTAAATATTTACAATTTTATTAGCTGACTATATTACAGAATTCAATTAAAATAAAATACATACGAATTTTTAATACAGTTTTTTACTTATATTATTAACTAAGTACAATGTCATTCAACAATTATTCATTGTAACGTCATCACGAGAGAATGTGATCACTCCCAGAGTTTATCCTTAGACACCGATTCAGTTGCGCTAAACAAAATAAAATACAACAATCAATTTACTATTCGTTACTTATTAGTTCAGTATAATTATTAATATAAAGTATTTAGCAATACTTAAAAATATTTAAAATATTAATCCAGTAATTGGCTATATGTCGACTTCACAGTGAAGACGATAAAGAATATGAACAGATTTGTGTTATAATATTCCATCAATAAAACATACTGCTGAATTATAAACTTTTAGAAATTCTTACAGGATGCGGGCGAGGTTTTGGACTTGGTGCTGATTTAGGTTTCTGCGCTGGTTTATGTACTGGTTTAGGCTTAGAGTTATTGCGTCTTGGCTTAGATTTTCCAGGTTCTGGCTCCGGGCTAGCTTCACGACGTAGACGCTACAAGAAACAAAGAAGTTTTAATACTTAAGTCTACAATGGTATGAACCACGTACTTATGTAACGTATTTGAAATTATACCGGATGGGGTGGGCGCGGTGGAGGAACGTACACTGGTCTATTTAATGCGGGTTCAGGTTCTGGATCAGCTTCACGTCGAAGACGCTAAAGGATATGAAGATGTTTCTATTATAATATTCTGTCAATTAAACATATACTAATAAATTATAAACTTCTAAAAATTCTTACAGGATGCGGTGGACGAGGTGGTGGAACATACACTGGCCTATTTAATGCGGGTTCAGGTTCCGGATCAGCTTCACGTCGAAGACGCTAAAGAATATGAAGAGGTTTTTATTATAATATTCTTCCAATTAAACATACTAATAAATTATAAACTTCTAGAAATTCTTACAGGATGCGGTGGGCGAGGTGGTGGAACGTACACTGGCCTATTTAATGCGGGTTCAGGTTCCGGATCAGCTTCACGTCGAAGACGCTAAAGAATATGAAGAGGTTTTTATTATAATATTCTGCCAATTAAACATACTAATAAATTATAAACTTCTAAAAATTCTTACAGGATGCGGTGGACGAGGTGGTGGAACGTACACTGGCCTATTTAATGCGGGTTCAGGTTCCGGATCAGCTTCACGTCGAAGACGCTAAAGAATATGAAGAGGTTTTTATTATAATATTCTGCCAATTAAACATACTAATAAATTATAAACTTCTAAAAATTCTTACAGGATGCGGTGGACGAGGTGGTGGAACATACACTGGCCTATTTAATGCGGGTTCAGGTTCCGGATCAGCTTCACGTCGAAGACGCTAAAGAATATGAAGAGGTTTTTATTATAATATTCTGCCAATTAAACATACTAATAAATTATAAACTTCTAAAAATTCTTACAGGATGCGGTGGACGAGGTGGTGGAACATACACTGGCCTATTTAATGCGGGTTCAGGTTCCGGATCAGCTTCACGTCGAAGACGCTAAAGAATATGAAGAGGTTTTTATTATAATATTCTGCCAATTAAACATACTAATAAATTATAAACTTCTAAAAATTCTTACAGGATGCGGTGGACGAGGTGGTGGAACATACACTGGCCTATTTAATGCGGGTTCAGGTTCCGGATCAGCTTCACGTCGAAGACGCTAAAGAATATGAAGAGGTTTTTATTATAATATTCTGCCAATTAAACATACTAATAAATTATAAACTTCTAGAAATTCTTACAGGATGCGGTGGACGAGGTGGTGGAACGTACACTGGCCTATTTAATGCGGGTTCAGGTTCCGGATCAGCTTCACGTCGAAGACGCTAAAGAATATGAAGAGGTTTTTATTATAATATTCTGCCAATTAAACATACTAATAAATTATAAACTTCTAGAAATTCTTACAGGATGCGGTGGACGAGGTGGTGGAACGTACACTGGCCTATTTAATGCGGGTTCAGGTTCCGGATCAGCTTCACGTCGAAGACGCTAAAGAATATGAAGAGGTTTTTATTATAATATTCTGCCAATTAAACATACTAATAAATTATAAACTTCTAGAAATTCTTACAGGATGCGGTGGGCGAGGTGGTGGAACGTACACTGGCCTATTTAATGCGGGTTCAGGTTCCGGATCAGCTTCACGTCGAAGACGCTAAAGAATATGAAGAGGTTTTTATTATAATATTCTGCCAATTAAACATACTAATAAATTATAAACTTCTAGAAATTCTTACAGGATGCGGTGGACGAGGTGGTGGAACGTATACTGGCCTATTTAATGCGGGTTCAGGTTCCGGATCAGCTTCACGGCGGAGACGCTAAAAAATACGAACAGGTTTTTATTATAACAGTTTGCCAATTATATATACTAATAAATTATAAACCTCTAGAAATTCTTACAGGATGTGGTGGGCGAGGTTTGGGTATATATACTGGTCTAGGTCTACTGGGTACTGGCTTAAAGTTTCCGGGTTCTGGCTCCGGATCAGCTTCACGACGTAAGCGCTACAAGAAGCAAAGAAGTTTTAATACTTAAGTCTGCATTGGTATGAACCACGTAATTATGAAACTTATATAAAATTTTACCGGATGAGGTGGACCAGGTGGCCCCTCCATATTCTCGCTTGTTACCATCGCCGTACAGGCGATGGCAAAAATTGTCAGGATTAACAGACTCTTCATGGTGGAAGCTTATTTCATTCAGTAGTACGTTATATTTGCACCTCTGAAAAATAGTGAATTGAATGTTAATTTGTGAGAAATAACAAAAATATCAATCCTGCAACTTGGTTTTACAAGGAAGTAACTTCTCAAATATCCTGTTTATGCAATGTTAATGTGTAATAAAATAGTGTCTTACCACTGGCTTCCTCAGGATATGTAAGTACTGCAGATTTGCAGAAACTGATAGTTGATACACCGAAGCGCAGCGTATTTATACTAAACGTTCAACATGGCCTGCATCTCCGCTAGAGTTCAAGGCCTCGGGACACTTGCTTGGGAATCACCGTGTGCGTGACACAAATGTTCGATATATTCTTTGTTTTTCTGTAACCACTTTGCAGGGAATTGCAATTGTGGGAATGACTTACTAAGAAAATAAACATTGTGATAATTACATTATCACTTATCATGAGATGTTTTGTTGAATTTTACGTATTATAAAAATAATAATGTACTTTTAGTGACCTATATTTTAGGTCTTTTTATCGTTTTTAACATACAGTGACCCACAAAAGTGTTCGTACATCATTTAAAACGCAATAACTTTTTTAAAACTGGATTGTGACTTGAATTTTTTTTAAATGATAGAGGGACTAGTATACTAGATAATGACCACAATGTCTTCTTTAAATTTTGCTATTATTTGGAATGAAAAAAAAATAAAAATAAAAAACTCGTTGTTTAACTTTTTTATCTTACGAGTAACAACAAATTAAAGATTTCAAAAATCACAGTTTTGTCACGATTTTGGTCAAAAACTGTAAGAAGTCTGCCGTTTTTTAAAATCTTTCAACGCTTGTAGCTCGACTCTCGATTAACCGATTTTGATAAAAATTTCTGCACGCATATAAGTTACCGAGATGTACGAAAGACATTTTTTAAATTTTTGTCATAGACTTAGATACAAAAGTTAAAAACGGGAACTTTTTATTTTTTTTTCTTATTCCAAATAATAGCAAAATTTAAAAAAGACATTTTGGTCATTGTCTAGTATACTAGTTCCTTTATAATCTAAAAAAAAATTCAAGTCACTTAGTCCACTTTCAAAAAAGTTACTGCGTTTTAAATGGTGTACGAACACTTTTGTGGGCCTCTGTAAGTTTAATTTCAAATCCAAACAAAAGTTGAAATTCAAATAGAAATTATCTAAATTTAAATAAAATTTCAAATTTAAACGAAAGTTTAAATTAAAATAAATGTTTGAATTTAAATTTATATAGAAATTTAAATTAAAATTAGATTTTTATTTGATCTCTATATTAAATTAAAATTATTATGCAATATAGTGTGTGTGTGTTAAATTTCTACACGTATCGATAAGATTACAATGTGTATATATGAAAGGTGATAAATCGGTCGTTGTCCAATGTGTTAGTACAAAAAGTTTCACATTAACATGTGAAAGTGCATCGGTCGTGTGGGAATCACCGAGAAAACAAACATAATAAAAAATGGAAGACGGACTTTCCTCATTTGGATTCCCCGGCATATTTGGATTGGCAACGCATCTCTTTGTTTGTATACATTATAATCTCATATAAGACGGCTGTAACGATAAGGGACATTTTGCTCTACTTTATTGTATTGTGTTTCCATCTGTATTTTTTATTTGTTTCAAACAAAAAAAGTAATGTTTCCGCCCGGGATCGAACCGGGGACCTTCCGCGTGTTAGGCGGATGTGATAACCACTACACCACGGAAACCGATGGTAGGATTCTCCTAAGATTTAATGACGTAGTGATTTCGAATGATTTCAAACATCAGAAATGTTTAATTTAGAATTTTCCAGTTTAAACAATTTATACAATTATTTTCATTTTACTTTTGAATTTGTTCTCCCAAAATATGATACGGTCATTTTGACATCTAAGACATTTATATTTTATTAATATTAAGTTTAAACGAAATACCACCAGGTAGAAGTAGGATTCTTTATTTTTATAGCTTTCTTTATTTTATACAAATTACAATAATTATAAAGTAATTCGGTTTCTGGTTAGGCTAACTTATTCGGAAACTGGCTGCACGCTATTTTCAAGAGCTCGTTTCTCCTCGGACAGCAACGACACCTTCTCTTCGTATTTTTCCCGGAGATCTCGGAAAAGACAAAGCTGAGTTTCGTATTCCTTTTTTAAATCTGCGTTTAGCTTCACCGCGGCTTCCATTTTGTTTATCATAGTGCTGTACCGTTCTCTTTCCTCGGTGATTCGCGCCTCCATGTCGTTAACTTCTGCCTGTAACATTATACGAACAAAAATATATTCGATGCATCGACGAATTATTTTAGTTTCAACTAATTCGGATAGTGTACCTGGAGTTGGTTCACTTCCAAATTACGAATTTCCAACAAGCTTCTCGTGAGCGACTCGACTTCTTTCAACGAAACCACTTGGCTGTTCAAAGCACTGATCTGTTTCTCTTGATTAGAAACGATCCGAATTCGATCCTCTAATTGCAAAGATGTTTGCACCAATTTCGCCTTCAACTGGTCTATCATACGTCGAAGCAAAACATCATCGCCTTCGCCCTTCAACAGAGCATCGTAGGATGATTGTAGCTCGACTAACTTTTTCTCGGTGTTCTCCAGCTTCTTCTGGCAGCAATCTCGTTCCACAGATATTTTCTATAAATTCAAAGTTATGAAGATTAAAACGATGCTTGGAAGAAGGCCAACAAGCCATTCTTGGTACCTTCACTTCCTCTTTCAGTTTCAATATCGCAAGTCCGTCATTGTTGACTTTCAAGTCGCCTTCCGCTAGCGATTTATTTTCTGGCGTCGCTAATTGCTTGCCGATCTCTTTAATAGGCGCTTGATCATCCTCTTTCTTTAAATTCGCCACCGGACAAGTGTCCCCAGCACCTGTGACCGCCTGTTTTTCGAATTCCGCTACTTTCGACTACAAAGAGAATACTGAACTATAAAAATGAAACGAACGTGTTTAATTAAACGATTTCTCTTCCTTTCGATTGCAAGATGCGCTGAAACTTCTTCGGAGATTCACAGTGTAATCGCTTTGAAAGGTCAGCTAATTTTATTACGACTGATGATCCCCTTAAATAGAGAATGAAATTTACCAGTTGTTCGCTCTGATTGAATTCGACAATCTTCGCAGCCTCCCCGGCAATTTTTTCCTCGGAAACGACCGCAATTTCATTTTCGATCGCCGCTCCGTTTGTGGATGGACCGTCGTTACTTATTTCGGATGGTTTTGCTTCTTTCTCAGGTACATCTTGACCTTTCGAGTCGCCTGCAACCTCGGGTTCCTTGGCAAGCGGAGGGATGACTTGCTCTTGCATTGCGGAGGCGGTTGCATTTTCGGCAGCGGATGCATTTTCGACAGCACACGGAACCGCATTCTCCGCATTGTCCGGTTGATTCGATTTAGGCTCGTGTGAACCTTGACTCGCGTCCGGTTTGATTGTTTCCGCGTCTGACATCTTTTTATCTGGAAAAAATGTCAGCTTTTTGCATTGATACAGAAACAAAAGTACAGCAGAACGTTTCGTGGAAATGTTCACTGCACGAATACGCTGATCGAATATCGATCGATATAGTCTAATTTACAACAAACTAAAACTGAACACGATTCTTCTTTATTACATTTCGTGATTTTTTTTAGAAGCATGGTCTCAGAAAGAAAATCATGAAATTTCTCTTTATTATATCGCGTCTACATTCGTGATTAATAATAATATTTTCCACGGCGGATACAAAAATAGCTACAACGACAGACGCTCTCGGTTGATTCGATCGGATGGACCTCACCAGGTCAGCATTTTTTCCCGCAAAATCGATTCGTATGCACGCTTCGAATATCGAAAGGATTCACTGGTTCCGGTAAACCTAATCGCTTCGCGTTACTGACGAAACAGTTGAACGTTTCCCGCACCACGTGCAACCGCGCATTCCCCGAAGAATTGAATTTCAAATTACCGAGTGATTCGATAGAGGAACGTCGATGTTTTCTCTGAACACGATCGATACTTTCACGCGGGCCGACTGGATATCCAGTACTAACCGAAAGTCTGGTGTATTTTTGGACGTTCTACGGCTCATTCTATTTTAAACTATCGTAGATGCGAGCCAGTCGAGAAACGACCGACAAGCTAAAAACCGTATGCCCATCAGATGCAAGCGTTTCCACGCAGAAATTCCCGCTCAATTTTACTCGCCCGGCAATGTTGTCGATCATTATGTAATCCCATGAATAGGGACATAGTCTAATGTAAGTTAGATTTTTTCCTTTCGAAATATATCACGCAACGCGAGCCTTCGAGTCGATACATCGCTCCACATCGTTCGTACGAACGAATATCGAGGCATGATCAAGAAAAGTGTTTAACGAAAATTAATGTATGGATCCTCTTTAAAAATCACTTTTATTCCGGAAAGAAATTATTGCTTTTCATTTGCTCGGCAAGCACCATTTCGATTTGGACGGGATCATGGGGAATTCGGTCTGAGAATTTATTAACGTAGTCACGCTGTAACGTGCAAGAGGTATCACGTACCTCGGTGTATGTATTTACAATAAATTATATGGTAAGTAAAGAAAAATATTCTGTTTTCGCGACGGATACGATTTTTTCCAGGCAGATAGTTTTAAATGCTTCGAACTTTTGTGCACATGGTGACCGATCCTACACAAGGATTCGGTACATAACCTTGTTCGCATGTATATGCTATTTTGTAACATATATCTTTCGTTCTGATCATTGACGCGCAAAAAAGCGATCTCTATATAATATATCTTGTCGACTGAAGTAGGTATAAAAAAGAAATTAAACGGTCAGAATATTTAATTGCCATTTTGATATATGTGCTCGGTGTTAAAGGTTACGTTACCACGGTTTCTTTGAGGATAATGATTAGCTATTTTTATTTGATATCATTTTCGTATGTTGCGAATGTTGCACTGACAAGTCTCATTTATGTTTTCTAGATTATCAGCTAAGGTATGGAAGAGTACTCGAGAGAACCATGCCCTTGGCGTATAGTAGATGACTGTGGTGGTGCATTCACAATGGGTTTAATTGGTGGAGCCGTCTTTCAAAGTATTAAAGGCTTCCGTAATGCACCCAGTGGAATGTCCAAACGACTTCAAGGCAGTTTCATGGCGATCAAACAACGGTCTCCCATCTTTGCTGGAAATTTTGCATCTTGGGGCTGTCTGTTTTCGACGATAGATTGTACATTGATTCAAATTAGAAAAAAGGAGGACCCTTGGAATTCTATTATTAGTGGAGCAGCAACTGGTGGTATATTATCAGCAAGGAGTGGTTTACCAGCTATGGCTGGTAGCGCGATCATTGGTGCTGTGCTATTGTCCCTGATCGAAGGCGTAGGAATATTTTTCACGCGTGTGTCCGCGGATCAGTTCAAACCTCCCTCGATCACAGACGATCCGAATTTTGGACCACCGCCGCACGGTAATCCGTCGTAAAATTTTAAACACATTTTAGACACATTTCAAATCACACTCAACTAATTAAGTACAAACGTTTCGTATTCGAAAACGATAGTAGTTGAAAGATATGGTTGCCAGTACATGAAATCTGTATAGACAATGGAACTCCTTGATTTAAGAAATAATAATAGTTAATTTTTTATTCAATGTTGTTCCTTTCTGTATTTTTATTGAACTGTTAATATACGAATCGACACAGCCGGTACAAACGTATTAATAATATATAAATATAATATATATTTACATATATATATTACTAAAATCAATTGACAACATATTATGTCAGGATATAGGTCTTTTGTGAAAAGACTATCTATAATAGAAGAGATAAACGAGGGCTGATAAAATTATCGTCGATATTGTAAGATTAATTGTATTATTTGTAATGCTTAGTTCTATTAAACATCTTCTTCATCATCATCCTCTTCTTCGAAGTATTTGAAAGCCGTGGCTATAGATAAGTTCAAAGATTTATTCGATGCGTCTTGCGGCATTTCATGTTCTGATTCGTACGACGGTGATTTTTCTCCTGAATCTTTTAACGATTTGTTCATTATCGCGAGTAAGTTAAGTTGTTCCACCTTAAAAATTTCGATTACGGATGAAAGAAATTAGAACATAACATAATTATTTCATAAATTACATGAATGAGATATTTACCTGCAGCCTGTGAACTTGGTTATCAATTTTCGTCAACAGTTTCAAAAGAAGTTCCCTTTCCTGCTTTAAATCCCTTTGGAAGGCAAGCAACTCGTTTGCGCCTATTTTTAATTCAGGTAAATCAAAATGATTCTCCATCCTTTAATTACTTTCTTTTAATATATTTGTGTATAACCTTATTGTGTTGTTTTGACACTATGCAACACTACACAAGTGTTTCATGAGAATTACATTTTTTTCCTGGTCGTTTTATAAACAATAGTCTCACGATTTATAGTTGTAATCTTTCTTCAGTATTATTCGATTTAAACTAATCTTTATTCAGTATCATTCGATTTAAACTGTAGAAACTGGCAAATGTTCAGTATACATACAGCGTCTATAAAACATTACGTAGAGGTTAGAATGACTGGCACCCAGTGCAGCCAACTATACTCGTTTCTAACTTCGTTACCGTTCTTCAACTTACAATTTTTAAAAGTTCACCAGCATGGATTTGAAATTTTGAATTTAAAATATGCAACCTTCCGGCGGTCAAGTTTCTTTTATTTAAATTTCGGCGGGGATTAGGTATGCGCAACATACGGTAATATAATAATACTTTATTCTTTCTACAGAAGTCTACGTAAAACTACAGTTTAATCACAATTTATCGTAATTGAATTTATTTAGGTACAGGATTCTTTAATGGATTACAATGTAATCCATAGAACTATATGATTATATTAATTTGTAAATTTTCGAGTGGTCGCATTAAGTTAAATAGAATCAACACGAATCTTAGCATTCGAACGCAACTTCACTATACAGTATTCAGTTTCTTTTTTCTGTTTTTATAAACGACGATCTATAAAAGTTTTAGAACATTCTTCAGCTTTTTCGCTTATTTTTAATGTTAATTACTGTATAATGCACGATATACATTGTCGTCGACGTAAGATTTGTGTTAGAGACTTTATGTACATATACATACAGAAGATATTCAAATTGGGAGCACAACTACTGTTATCATGCCATCATTACACAGTAGTTATAATTTATTATGATGAACACCACATTTACGAAGGTTCGTTAATCTTAGTTAACACTATCACACTAACATGCGGTTCACAAGAAGTGTCGGGTCGATCATTCGAATGACTTCATGTAGAAAAACCGAGGATGATAACATCAAACAATAATTGTCCTCACCAAAAAGAAGGGTAACCTTAGGACGCTACTGATCAGCGGCCAAAAAGTTGCATTCTCACAGTTTATTTTTACAGGATATACTGCGTGTGATCATTGGTATTTCTAATTACATATATAAATATCATTATACCATTTACACAAACTGAGGTATATGGTAACCTTGCGGATCGACTCTATCAATATTGCCGTCGCGGCATACACGAATTCAAAATTGGGGGAATAAAAATAAATAATTCGTACAATCGGTATATATACGCCTTCGAATTCTCTATTCTATGGTCGATTAAATTTTGATAATTCTCATCGTTCCTCGTCTCCATTGTTCCTCCATGTGTTCTCTGTCGTTTCGAATTTTTTTGCTGCAGCAGCTAAGGGATCGGTTGGTTGCGCCACCCGAGGCGCGGGAGATTTGAAATCAGTTTCTCGTGTTCCTCTCGGTTCACCAATCGTCGTGGAATCTTAGGCCGAAAATTCGCTCGTTGCTGCAGCAAGGAACGCGTCAATCTTTCGACGCAGTCGGCGGCGATTCGCGGCTATTGTCGCTGGTAAAGCTCGATAAACCGAGGCCACCAGTTTCATGACTCGAAGAACTTGTTGGCGAGTTGCTGTTACTCCTTGCTCCGCCTAGTTGCGTCACCGTCGAGCTCTCGGTCGGTATCAGACCCTCCTTCATCCTCTTCTTCTGCTTCATCCGCCTGTTCTGAAACCAAATCTTCACCTGCGTCTCGTTCAGCTGCAGCGCGGACGCGATTTCGATGCGTCTTGCTCTGGTCAGGTACTTGTTGAAGTGGAACTCTTTCTCGAGCTCCGTGAGCTGCTTGTTCGTGAAATTGGTCCGACCGGTGTTATTGAAACCGCCTGCTATACCGGCTAAAGGACCGCCGGTAAGGCAGTTCACCGGACCGTTTGCTGGGCTGGTGTAGGTAGATGCACTTCCGGCCCCGATCGTGCTGCCACCGAAGTCCGCCAAACTTGGGTTCGGTTTTGCCACTGCAACAAATTAAAATTGGTTCGTTAATTCCATTACAAAAATAATTAATTAATCGATAAATTTCTCGGATTACAGATCTCCTCATTAACTGGAGCAGCTATCGTGTAATTAAGGACGACTTGCGTACTTAGCAAATTGTTATCGCCAGTCAGCAGAATTTTAATGTTAAATTGATTATAACACGTGCTTGTTAATTCTGACTGCACTAAACGACTGATCTGGGGATTTCCCGTGTCACATTTCTTTTTATTAACCTAAGCAGCCTGTAATTACGAGCAATTGATGCGATCAGCAATTTGTTATCACTTCTACAGATTTTTACTAAACGGAGTTCTCTTCTGCGTGAAAGATTTGCATACGCCATAAACGCGTAATGATCTTGTTATTACGGACAGCTTCGCAGTTACAATTACTATGATTATGAAACGGCATTAGCATAATTGTGCAACATGTAAGAAAATATTTAGGGCTGTCCTGTATCATTTCCTGCAATTCATACACGGTCTGATTGCAGAGCATCTGTTAATTCTCTCGTTACACAGCGAAATCCTCTAATTAGAGCTTCGAAGGACGACCAGTTCGATCGTCCAAGGGATACACGTTCGCGTCCCCTGTCGCTTGCGATCCCGGTTCTTCCGTTAATTCTCGTGGTACGTGTCCAACGTGTCCACAGCGGAGGTTAAAGGCAATATCCGTCGTATTAGGACGAAGTTTAATCCTTCGGCCCGCAGCCGTTTATTGTCCAACACAGCTGGTCAGTGCTCGGAGGAGCGAACCTGTCCCGGACCGATAGGGTTGAGCCCTAAATCTGGATCAAATTGCATCAGCTGTTGTCGAATGTCAAGGCCAGTTGCGTCGTTTTACTTATCGATCTTCCGCGTTGGTCATTCCGCACACTTTGTCTAATTCGGTTCTGGTCTCATCGCGCAGAGCCCATTTTGACCTTTGCTACCGAAATGGACGCTGCCCAAAATAAGACCGATCAATCGTAAATCTAACCAATTCCTGATTTCTGTTGCAAAAATTTTGCCGTTTCGGGGCAAATCATATTTTCCCGGACTACGAGATAGTCAATAGTTTTATTTCGTACGCGATATCGTGCGAAGCTCGAAGACGGTACAACAAAGCGAGGGGAGGCGAGAGCGATGCGCTCTTCTGAAAAAGAAGTGACGTCGTTTACGCATTATGGAAATTAGATTGTTATTTAGTCCTCCGGTATGTGGAAGTCAATTTGCTTAATGGCGGAGGGTGGACGAAACCGTCGAGCCACCGCCTTAGTGCCACATCTTCTTTTTCACCGATATGTTTGCCTGTATCGTCTCGCAAGGTAGATCATTTTTCTTCATATTTCAATCGGTCGTTTCCAGCTCGTTTGCCAAAAAGGAGTAGAAGAAAAGAAATACGGCATGTTGCTCGACGGATTTTCCCGAATTATCCAGAAACATCAGTCACTTAAATACCGGATCCGGAACTTGGTCCGGCGGCCATTAAGCCCGCACATCTTCGAGCCGGAATAATCAAGTTGGACAAGTTCTATTAGCCGCGGCCGGCGTGATACGGTGAAATGTTTCTCGTTTTCGCGACTCATTCATCAATTTAGCGCCTTAACAGGAGGACAGAGCGCGCGCAGTCTGATTTTCTATGGTACAGTTGGACTTCACCAGCGAAGTTCCGCTGGAAATGCGTCCGTTGGAACGGGGAAAAAAATTTGATTTATCAAGGTTTCTGAAAGCTGAGCCGGACCTTTTGCAATAATCGAACCATGTATCGCCGGAATTTGTGCTAGCATTGGGAATAATGTGAACGAATTTCCCGCACGGAAATGGAAGCGTTCTTTTCATCGGCCAGAAACGGTTCTGTAATTTACAAACTAGATGTGGAGGTCGTGTAATCCGCATTACTGTCTTGCCACTGAATAATCGATAAAACTCGCGCGGCACACGTCGTGCACGGTTCGCTCGCGATATAATCAGCCACGTCCGATTCCATTTCTGAAAAGACAAATCTCGAACGGCGGCCGATCGGGGAAACGCTTACCCGAGCGGAATCGGCAAATCACTTTCGATTAAACGGTGCACCGGTTGTACCGTAATTAGAGTTTCCTCCTCGAAGAATATTCATAACAGTAATTAAAACTGCTTTGCGTCGTTTAACCGACTGTTCTGTTTGCTTGAGCGATGCATTCTCTGAACCGGCACAATTTCTTTGGACATTGAACTTGTGAAATCAGATGTATACGATAATTAGACTGAAAAATATAAGTTGACTGCGTCTCAATTAGAACGAACAGACGTCGTTCAGTAACTTCTCTGTTTTCTTAGTTCAACTTGTTTGCTATTCTTAATTTCGTTACGCGAACGCATGAAATCTGCGGTCTGGCGATGATTACATGTACAGCTAAAAAGACCTGTATGGAAATCGAGGAAAAAGTAATCTCGTTAGAGCTTAAATTTAAAGGTCGCGTAACAAGAAAAGAACGATACTCTTGAATTATCTGATAGGTCGAGACGATATTGATCGCGTCCGAACAATGAATTGTTCCCGTGACGATGTTAATGTATATTTTTTTGTTTTCGCGCGGAGATTGCCTTTTTAAACCTGCTCGTTCTCGACAAAGAAAGCAGGCAAGATAATTTCTTTGAACGGCAATCTTATCTCGATGCGACGATAAGAGGTTCGATCGCGAACACGAGTCTGCACGGAGACGGAGTGAAAGTCCTGGAGGCCGGAAATTATTTGTCCTGGAAGCAAATGAGAACAGGACGACGCGTCACGGGAGAGGGTAAGAGGCGACAGAATAAGGAATAGACAGATTAGGAAGGGTTAAAGACCGAGATAGCGTGGAATTAAGGGGGTCGTTGAAGATGTTAATTATTTTTCCCGGGATGAAACCCGGAGAACTTGATAAACAGATTAACTTCTTCGGCAACTTTGCTACATTGTCAAATCGGTCAAAATAAAAGTCCTGAAGTGCTTTTTATATCTTCAAATACCACAAATGTTATGATAAACATTTCCCTGAATTGTATCTTTCCTTGAGAAGCAGATTGACTTCTATAATTTCTCTCTACATTGTCAGACCAGTCAATATAAAAAACACAGAGTGTGTCTCATTTCTTCAAATACCAGAAATATCATTATAAAAAGTTCTCTAAATAGTGACTTTTCTTGAGAAGCAGATTGACTTCTATAATTTGTCTACATTGTCAGACCAGTCAATATAAAAAACCCAGAGTGCGTCTCATTTCTTCAAATACCAGAAAGTTCTCTAAACAGTGTCTTTTCTTGAGAAGCAGATGGACTCCTACAATTTTGCTACTTTGTCAGGCCACGGTTCGACTAAAAAACCCATAATGCTATTTATGTATTCTTCCCAGGATCAGAAAAGTCAAGGTCAACATTTTTCCAGACCGTGTCTACACCACCAATGTAAAATTATACCACGAAATATGCGATCCCGATCGGTTTCCCGTCGCTAGCGAATTTCTTTAAGGACATTGCAGCAGCGTATCGCAAAGTTTCAAACGGTCGCGACAGAACGTCTGGCCGGTCAGCCGACATTATCGGCGTCCACCGAAAAAGTAATTAAAAGCGAAATGTCCGGAGTCGCCCGACTCAACGCGAATCGACCAAGTGCACTTAAGCTCACCGCCAAACATGAATGTAATTCTCGCACACATTGTCGCGCGCCGGTGGTTGCAAACGAGAGGGTGTACGGAACCGTGTGGGCGTGCGTACTGCCCGCGTTAACACAACTAACACCTAACCTGGGCTTCGAGGCATGCATGCCAGACCGGGCTCGTTCAAAGGGCCCTGATTAAATCTCACCTGGCTTAATATTATTATTTTACGCGGCGCCTGCCGGCGAGAACCGGCGGAGGGAGAAGGAAATTGGAAACAGTGGGAAAAAGTAGATAATGCCGGTGGATAATGGCGAGAGTAGCCACTTCAACGATTTTGGAGCTTCTGTGATCTGTTCTTAAACGGGAACTGAAATCATTTTTCGAATCATACTTGGCTAGCAGGATTTCAGGGTAAATTCGGGGGATGAAGTTTGGCAATTTAAAAAGATATAGTTTCTTCGGTAAATTGTAGAATGATATTAATTATCCGGGAGGATTTTTCCAACTTTTTCGAAAAAAGTTCTTTCTCCAGCCCAGATTTGCATAAATTCGTTTCCTTTTCGTTGGCCGATGCTGCAGCCAGCGAACGGCCCTCGGTACTCGCAACGCTGTCCACAATGTATTCCGCGCGGAGATTACAGGTTCTACCAGAAGCAATTTGTTGTTTCGTTTTCTAGATTTTTCTAGTGCCGCGACCGCACGGAGATCTTCCTCTGTATTCCTCTCGCTCCACGGCGACGACGATCGCGTCGAGCGAGGATCTGTCGAGGAAGAAAACGAGCAGAGAGACGGAATCGGAGGAGGGTCGAAAACAGAAGAGGAGAGATGAATCGAGATCGAGGCGTATGAAAACATTAAGGCTCGCCTGGCGAAGAGATAGAGTTCCTGCTCTCGATCCGGTTCTCGCGGGACGCGCTTATTAAACGCAGAGCTCTAATTTATGCGCTCGCTCAAAAATACCGGCGCTGCGCTGAAGAGTCGGCTTCGAGGAGATTTTCCTGGGGGATTCTGGTTCTACGAAATTCTCCCGGAGAAATCTGTTCTATTTCTACGGAACTTTCCTGGGAAATCTGTTCTATTTCGACGGAACTTTCCCCTTGGACATGTTTTCTACGAATAGCTGAAGAATAATGGTAAAGTAACAGTTATCTTGTCTCTTTTAATGAAGAGTGAATATTGTCTTCACTTTTTAATATTGTTCTCGCTTCTTTTACCATTTGGATAGCAGAGTAGAATTAGAGAATATGTTGAAGAAAATATGATGAAAAAATTGGGAATTATCTTAAGCACATAGCACTAGTTATATTTTTCTCAAAAAAGGTGCGTTGCTCGATCGACTGCGGATTTTATGCAGTTATGAAAAAAATGAATAAATC